TGCGTGCGTGCGTGCGTGCGTGCGTGTGCGTGGGACTGCGTGTGTGTGTGTGTGTGTGTGTGTGTGTGCGTGCGTGCGTGCGTGCGTGTGTGTGTGTGTGTGTGTTTGTGTGTGTGCGTGTGTGTGTGTATGTGTGTGTTTGTGCGTGCGTGTGTGCGTGTGTGTCCGTAGACCTGGCTCAAGCCACGAGCAGGCCCACTCCCCGGGGTCTCCCGCACTCAAGGGGGCGCCCAACGCAAGTGGCCCCGTCCCCGCGCCCGTGCCGCCCGCCCCCCCCGCGGCCGCTGCCCGGCCCCCCTGGTGGCTGGCGTAGCCAGGGATCCCGCTGGGGTCTCCCTGGACGGGAGTTCCCCCACCAGGCAACCGAGGGCTAGTGAGGGATGTGCCGAAAGTTCGTGTCTGCGTTCCCCCAGGTCTCCTCTGCGTACCAGCTCGGGAGCTACCGCTCCTGAAGGGACTGCGTGATACATCCAGTCTGTACTCCCCGAGAGAAGGCACAGCCTAACCCTCCCTGGCGCAGCCAACGACGTAAGTGAAGGTGAAGACAACATGAAACTATCCGATACCCCAGCGTCGACGCCTCGAACGGGTCGACGGATTGCCTGAACTACGACATGTCTGGGCCTCCATCGCAGAGGTTAGCCTGCCCTCCACGCGCCGGGGTGCTTCCATCGCTGCTCTGATAACTCCGAACGATGCACCATGTTCGGTGCCCCCCCTCTGCGGGTGCCGCCGGCTCCCCACCGGCGCCCGTCGGGCGCGGGCTGCCTGGAGGATCGCCGGGGAATTGGGCAGAAGCGGGAGAAAGCAACGTGCGCGCCGACAGATTTGACCCCCATCCGACCCCACCGCCAGCGGGGGGGCCCGTGACAAACAATCCCCTCGAGTAACGTCGGCGACCTTGATGGTGCGCTCCTCCAGGCAGGCTGGTAGTGGGATCCACCCCTCGCTCCTGGATCCCAGCGCTAGGTCCCTGGATGGCCCCCTCCAGCCCCGGCGGGGCTGACGCAGGATGAGCGGTGAGGGTCAGCGCGGTTTCCACCTTTGCGGCCCCGAGGGCATCGTTTGCGAACCCACCCCTCAGGACACAGCCTGCCCTCCGTGCCCCGGGGCGCTTCCCTTGCGGAATGCGCCCCTGGCTGCGGGAATGGCCATGTTTTTTTCCCAGCGGTGCACCTATTCGGTGCCCCCCCCTTTCCCAGCCGCCCCCCCGCCGGCCTCGGCCGGGCGGCCGCGAGGGCCGCGGGTCGTGGGAACACAGACCTGGGGCTGGCAGACCCGGGGTGAACTTTCTTCTTTTGCCCTTTAATAAGGCCTCCAGAACGGAGCCGGCCTGCCACGGCAGCTTTTTCGGTTGCGTTACGAAGCAAGCGGGCTTCTCGCAAGCCGCGTGCAGCGAGCCACGCCAGGGCCAGGCAAGCCGCGCTGCCGCCGCAGGACCTTTCCGATGCAGATGTTTCTGCATTGCAGGATTTTTCTTTCTGCGCTGCAGCTTTTTTGTTCTGCAGCACTTTTGCGGGGCATCTGAAAATCTGCAATGCAGTTTTTTGTTTCTGCGCTGCAGTTTTTGTTTCTTGCAAGTGTGGGTTCGTCCTGCCACGAGCCGCCCCTTTGGGATATTGGGTACGGTGTGGAAATCATGTTGAACATCTGGGCTGGGCGCATGACAGGGCCCTTGGGAGTCAGGGCTTGCGCGCCCGAAACAGCTGCAAAATACAAGGCCCCAGCCCCCCGTCTGCCGACCCCCGGTCAAGGGGGCCCCGAGCGGGATCAAAGCTGCGCAGGAGCAACGGGCGCCGGCAGTCATTCTGCCCAGCTTGGGGCTTCCCTCGGCCGGGCCCCCACGGAAGGCGCTGCCACCCCTCCCCTGGGCGGGGCCGTCTTTCCGCCCCCGCGCGACGATGAGGGGGCCCAACCTGCGAGCCGGCGGGCCCGCCAAGGTACCCAGGACGGCCTTCGCGGGGCCGCGGCGGAACCGACTCGTGAGAGGGGCCCCCCAGGGCCCCTAGTGATCCCAGTCGCTGAGGGACAGGGTGGCGTTTCCTTTTGTGGCCTCGAGGACGGCGCCTATGCGCCCCCCCCTCAGGCCCCCGCACGCCTTCCGTGCGCTGGGGCGCTTCCCATGCGGAATGCGCCCCTGGCTGCAGGGGGGTCGCTGGCATCTCCCAGCGCCGCGCCTGTTCGGCGCCCCCCCCCCCTGCCGCTGCCAGCCCACTTCTCGCCGCCAGGGCGCGTGAACCACCTGGGGGGCCGTCGGGAGATCGGGGAGAAAGAAGACTTGAGCATCACAGGCGTTCCATTTTGTTATCAGCACTCCTTATGCCATTCTATATGCAATTTATCGCCCTCGACATGTAGCACACGAGCAGCAGGAGGATCGTTCCATAGCTATTTCGTGTTCAAGGGCGGTGCCTCCGCTCTGCGCGCCCCCCCCCCCGCGCGCGCGTGCGATCGATAGCTTGTCCGGGACTCGGGGGCGCGTCAGCGTCTCAGCAGCTTCCCATCAGCCCGCGGTGAATGTCAACGCGGAGGGGCGCCCTGCATCGCCCTGCAGCTGCCCGAGTCCCGCCTCCTATGCGGGCACGCCCTGCTGCCGCCGGGCCGCGTGCATCGCGAGGCAGGGGCGCCCCGGCCGGAGGTAGTCGACCTCCTGTGGCTTCGCGCGGCACGCGATTCAGGAGCGCCAGCCGCGGAGGTGGATCTGCCCCTCACGCGGCCAGGCCTCCAGCCCGGGACTTCACCCAGGTCTACGAGGGAGGCCGCAACAAGATCTTTCCGACGAAGGGATCTTTGATCGAGCTCTTCACGGCCAATGGCCGCGCCCGCTTCCGCATTGATCGCAAGCAGGTCCACGACGTCAAGCACGGCTCCATGTACTCGGCCACGTACCTGGAGAGCGACAATGCGGAGGACGAGATCGACTTCTACCCGATGTTCGACGCGGAGCGCCCTCCGTGGCTACACTTCTGCACTGTGCACTCCGACGAGTGCAGCAGGAGCGAGCCCAACCAGGAGCTGTTCCACGTCGGGAGCTGGAAGTTCATCGCCGAGTCGGAGTTGGAGGTTGCGCTTCCCCCTGCTGTGGGTGCAGGTGCTGTCCAGCCAGATGGCGCCGCTGAGCGGAAGGGTCTGGCGCCCGCTGGGGGCGCGCCCAGTGCCAAGGGTGCTGGAGGCGGTGCCAGCATCGTGCACGCCGGTGCCGGCGAGAAGGACGTCTTGCGCGACAAGATGGTGGACTTGCGCGCCCGGATTCGCGGGCCGCCGCTGCCTCCGCCTCTCGATGCTCCGCCCCAGGAGCCGGCCGCCGCTGGCCGGGGCAGCCCTGCGGGGATCAGCACCGCCGCCGCCGCCGACGGCGAGCCGCCTCTGAAGGCCCCCCGCTTGGAGGTGCACCGTGGCGCTGGTGACAGAGGCGGCGGCGCCTCCCACAGGGCCAGCTTCGCGGAGGCTGTCGCGGCTAAGTGCAGCCAGGTGGCGGCCCCCAGTCGGGGCCCGCCCGGTCGCTCCAAGGAGCGCGGTGGGCGCGGCCGGTCGCGCAGCCGTCGCCGTTCGCGCCGAGGCAGCCGGAGTGACCGCGGCCGCTCGCGCTCTCGGCGGTCCTCCCGGAGCTCCTCAAGCGAGTCCCGCGGCCGGGATTTTCCCGAGGGGCGTCGTTCCAAACGCGAGCGGGTCAGATCGACCATGGAGCGGCGCCCCGGCCATATCACGCAGAGGCTGCTCGCGAAGATGCGGACTTACCTGCCCCGGGAGGCTGGGCGTCCCGGGGTCGACACCGAGCCACTGGCGATGAAGTACCTCACCACTCAGCTCATGCCACGGCTCGGTCCCGAGCTGACCAAGCGGAACGAGGCCGAGCTCCGCATCTTGGCCACATGCTTGGACTCGCTCCTGGACGGGAACATCGTGTACTGCACCGACCTCCTATCGCAGCAGTTCAAGGCTGTGGAAATGGCCCAGAGGGAGGGCTGGGCTGCGGCTCAGCACCTCAATCCTCTGTACGACACGCTCGTGTCGGCCGTGGAGGAGGACGAGCGGGGCGAGCTCTACCGCGCCGAGCAGCAGGAGTTGAAGCGCGCGGAACTCAAGAGCAGGATCGCCACCGGTCGCGGTCAGGGTCGCGGCACCGCGCGCTAGGGACTCGGCGGGGGCGAGCTTTCGGACCGGAAGCCCGCCCTGAGGCCACCCCCATCGGTGGAGGCTTCGCCTCCCCGCAAGGTCCATCTGGAGCGCGCCGATGCGGTCGTTCCTCAGCCTCCGGGTGCCTCTTTGGAGCCAGCTCAGGGGACTCCAGCGCCGTGGCGGAGCTCCGCCAACGCGAGGGTGCGCCACTCGGAGGAGGTCGTCCAGGGGCTCTTCGACCCGTCGGAGTCCGCGAGCGTCTACCCGAGGAGCCCTCCCCGTGCCAGAGACGGCGGAGGTGGCAGCCGGGGCTCGGACGTGAGGAATTCACAGTCCAGACCTCGGGGCCCGGACTCGCCGCCCCGGGACGTCGGCAAGAGCCGCGGCAAGAAGGGCAAGGATGGCCAGGGCAAAGGTGCGCGTCCTCGAGCCCAGGGCCCGCGCTCAGCCCGCATGTGGTTTCTGAAGCGTCGCGGCAAGGGCAAGGGCTCCCCCAAGGGCCAGGGCAAACGGAGCCCAGGCAGGGGGCCTGCCCACCGTCACCCGTGAGCCTGCCCCGCCCGGGGGCAGAGACCAGCCTCTCGGAGAAGCTGGTTGGGGGCGTTGGCATCGGCGTCTTCGGCGAGCTGCTGTTGGCGGTCGCCCAGCAGGGATCTGCTTACATGTCTTGCGCTGGCGCGCCATCTTCGTGGGGGGGTCCAGCTCGCCGCCGTCCTCGCGCGAGCTGCTCCCTTTTGCCACGTCGCTGGGCTTATCTCCATACCGCCAGCACGCCGAGTACGCCCGCCTCCTCGCAGAGGGTGACAAAGCCGGCAGGTGTGCCTTGCCGAGGCCCGCGGCTGGGCTCGACGAGTGGCTGATCCTTGTCATGCTTGGGTTGAACGCCCTCTGGGACGGTTCACGGGCCATTGGCCGGCAGCCATGCGGGATGCCAGCACAGGGGCCGTCGATGGCTCAAGTGGTGTGCTTCTGGCACCTGGAGCGCAAGATCCATAGCTTCGTGACCACGCCTGGGATGAGCGTCGCCGCCGAGGCGCCCGATGAGCTGTTTGCCAAGACGGAGGTCAGCTACGGCGGAGACGTCGTCCAGAGGGCACTGGAGCTGACGTGGGAGCAGATAGAACCTGCGCTCCCTCCCGCCGATCGGTGCGGTAAGTTACGGGCCGTCGATTTCTGCGAGCCGCGTGTCAGGCGCTACCTCGAGGAACCGTTCGAGATGCTGCTGCCGCTGGATGGGTTCCGGTCGCGGCCGAGGCCAGGGAAGGTCATGGCCTCCTCCACGGAGATCGTGCGCATCGGCCGCGGTCTTCTCGAGAGGGGCCTCGTGGCTCCATTGCGGCGCCGTGACCTGCTGCACATCCAGGGGGATCCCGTGGTGAACGGCATGTTCGGCGTGCTCAAGGACGACCTCGTCACTACCGGGCCGTTGGCCGGGCAGCCGCAGCTGAGGTTGATCATGAACCTCACCGCGTCCAACGAGCTCATGGGCGAGCTCCCCCTCGACATCGCGAAGCTTCCATATTACGCGCAATGGCGCAACATCGTCATCGATGTGGGGGAGGAATTGGTATGGGCCCACGACGACATGAAGGGGGCATTTTACCTTTTCTCATTGCCGCCCCAGTGGGCAGCGCTCTTTTGCTTCGATGTCGCCTTCGACCCCATCGAGTTGGGCATCCACGACTGGGGGCACGAGCCCGTCTGGCTGGGCGCGACCACGGTCCCCATGGGCTGGCGCAACGCCATGGGCCTGTTCCAGTACCTGCACCGCCGGCTTCTGATGTCAGGAGGCGTGCACCCGCGCGGATTGCCCCTGCGGCGCGAAATCCGGAAAGACAAACCCTTTCCGATTGTCCGCTCTGGCGACGCCGAGTTCGACGAGCTATGGCAGATCTACTGCGACGACGCCGACTATGGCAAGCTGGTCAACAAGCAGGAGCAGTGGTGCCAGGACCTATCCCAGGCCTCCTGTTTTTCGGAGGCCGCCCGCACGCGTTACGATGAGTGGGCGGTGCCGCTTAGTGCTAAGAGCGGCACTAATCGCAGTTCGGTCTCCAGGCTCGGGGCGTTGTTGGATGGGGCCGACGGGCGCCTTCGGCTCACGCCGAAGAGGGTTGGGTTACTTACCCGCCTCTCGTGCCACTGCATCGCGTCGCCCGCGGTGCGGCGCAAGCAGCTGGAGATCGTCATCGGCCACTGGGTGCACGCCGCTTCCTACCGGAAGGAATGCATGAGTTGCTTCCAGGAGGTGTGGGACGTCCTATCCCACTGGGGCGGAGGTCCTCGCGCGCTGCCGGAGGGAGCCCGTCGGGAGCTCGTCCTGGCCTTCGCGCTGCTCCCGTGCTTCGAGTACGACTTCCGCAGCCCCATCTCGCGCGTCATGACGGCCTCGGACGCCAGCGAGCACGGCGGGGGCGTCACGTACACGTCCAGGCACACCGCTGACGGTCGCGCCGCGGCTCTTTGTGAGCTGGCAGGCGGCTGCGCTCATGGTCGCGACCTCCTCGTGCTCATTGAGGTCGGTGGCTGCGGTCGCGGCCGCATGGCATTCGACAACGTCGGGCTCGAGCTCTCGCTGCACGGGCTGCTGTCGCTCACGCCTGACGCTGGCCGGACGGTGCGGGCCCGCTGGCCCGAAGCCGAGTTTCTGGGCGACCTGCAGTCCTTCGACGAGGCCGCTGCTCGCGGGGTGCTTTTGGCCGCGCCGCTCACGCCACCGACCTCGCCCTCATCTGCCACATCGGGCCTGGGCTGGAGCTGGATGCCAACCTGCCCCTGATTCGCTCCGCGCAGCGTATCTTGCAGCGCGAGGGGGCCGGGTTGAGGGTCTGGCCGGCGTGCCTCGCCGCGCCTTCGACCTCGCGCGAGCAGGTGGAGTCTGCCACGCGCGCCTTCCGCTCCGTGCCTCTCTTGATGGACGTCTCGACCCTGACCGAGAGCGCAGGCTGCGAATATTGTTGGCTGAGCTGGCCGCTGGCTGGTGGGAGTCACCTGCGGTCGTCGCGGCGGCCGGGCCACATCTCCCTGAGCTGGTCCGAGTCCACCCCAGCAGCCCCACCGGCGGCCGCAAGCGCCGGCTTGCGAAGTGCAAGGGCCGGGCGAGGCGCAGGCAGGTGCCCGCTAGGGAAGGATTGCCCCGCTGGGACCAGGCAGCGGAATTGCGTGCAGTGCCGCGCGCTCAAACTGGGGTTCCCGCACGACTTCTTCCTCTTCGCTCGGAGCCGCAAGTCAGGTTGCACGTCGGAGGCCCTCGATCAGGCTCGCCACGCTGTGGCAGAGCAGTGCGGGTCCGTGGCCCCTCTTGCTTACCTGGTCGGGCTGTGGGGCTGGCAGAGGGGCTTCCTGCCCGATGCCCCAACTCCCGACTCGGCACGCGGCTGGCTGTCTACCACAGGCAGCGCTTTTGTCGAGCGCCTGGCCGGGACGGCGATTGAGGAGATCACCTGCGCAGATTCGCATCAGCTCTCGCTCGAGGCCATGGTCCGCTCCACAATTTTCAAGGGGTCGGACGTCCGGATCGCGACGGCCTCCTTGTGCGACCCCAGCAGCTGGCCGCGCAGCGGTATCCCAGCAGCCAGGTGGGACTGGATGACTTGCCAGGCCTGGCGTTGGCGCGACGCCGAGCACATCAACGAGCTCGAGCTGCGCGCCGTGCTCAGCAGCGTCCGGTGGCGCCTGCGGAGCACCATACAAATCAATTCGCGCTTCTGTCACCTCCTGGACTCGCAGGTGTGCATCGGAGTGCTGTGCAAGGGGAGGTCGTCCGCCCGGGGCCTCCAGAAGATTCTCGCCCGCGTCGTCTCATTGCTGCTCGCCGCTAGCCTCCACCCGCACTGGGTCTATGTGAGGTCGGCGGACAATCCCGCCGACGCGCCATCGCGATGGTGAAGCATCTGGAGGCCGCCACGGCCAAGCAGCGACAGCAGAGACGACGAGCAGCGGGCACACTACGAGAATTGCAGATCAAACCGCGCACTCTCATTCGATACAAGCGCGCGGTCAATACCTTTTTCGACTGGCTCGGACGGGAGCGCCCTGATATTTTTGACTACCTTGCACGCCCGCTTAGCGCGGAGGCCGTCGACGAGGCGGCTGCTGACTATTTGGAGGCGCTGTGGGACGACGGATCGTCCCGCAGCGAGGCCGCCGACACACTCTCGGGGCTTCAGCACCTGGTGCCGAGCCTCCGGCGCGAGCTCAAGGAAAGCTGGCGCCTGCTCCGCACGTGGGACCAGAATGAGATGCCTAGCCGAGCCCCGCCGTTACGACCAGAAGCGGCGGTTGCCGTGGCTGGCTTTACGCTTGCCGACCGCCGTGAAGATGTGGCCGCCGCAGTCTTGGTGGGCTTCAACGGCATCCTGCGCCCCTCCGAGCTGCTGATCTCGGCGCGCAGCAAGCCCCTCCGATTCTGTGTCTTTGACCACAGCAAGCGCACATGCGTGGTCAACCTTGGGCTGACCAAGGGCGGCAAGAGGCAGGGGTGCCCTGGGGACGTCATCGTCGATGACGAGTTCGCCTACTTGCTGCTCCACCGCGCGCTTGCGGGCCGCCCGGCCGGCAGGGCTCTCCTGCCGAGAGGGCTCGCGAACTTACGCGCAGCCTTTGCCACCTACCTCGGCAGGGCGGGCTTCGACCCTAGCAGGGTTAAGCCCTACAGTATACGCCGCGGCGGCGCCACTCATCATTTTGCTTCGCTGGGCAATATGTCCCTTACGTGCGAGCGCGGCCGCTGGCGCTCCAAAGCGACGGCCAAAATTTACGTCGTGGAGGGGAAGGCCGCGCTGGAAGCCATCAAGCTTAGCAAAAAGCAGCGGACAGCTTTGGACCTGGGGCAGCAGCTGTTCCACAAACACATCACGCGCATCCTGAACAGCCTGAGGTAAAGCACGCCTTCGGCAGGGCTATGGGACACTTGGGTACGACTTCGCCAGACAGGGAGTGCGTGAGCATGCACGGCACCGACAGCCTGCCCCTTGAGGGGTTCCCGTCCGTCGTGGCGGAGGCCGGCCCTAGGTGGCGGCTGCTGCTGACCCGCGCTCCGGGCCGAGGGGGCTCGAGGGCCGATGGCCTGGGTCACCGAGCCGAGGGGGCTCGAGGGCCGATGGCCTGGTTGCGGCACTCCGGGCCTAGAGCCCGAGGGCCGCGGGCCTGCGCTGTCAGCACGGTGCCGCGCGCGACGTCGCACACGGCGGTGCGGCGCGCCAGCGCTCGGAAGAAAAGATCCGCGCGCGCTCGCTGTGCTAATTTATCGCCCTCGACATGTAGCACACGAGCAGCAGGAGGATCGTTCCATAGCTATTTCGTGTCCCGCCCTCGCCTCCCTGAACACGCAGATCCTTTACTTGAGCATGCACGGCACCGACAGCCTGCCCCTTGAGGGGTTCCCGTCCGTCGTGGCGGAGGCCGGCCCTAGGTGGCGGCTGCTGCTGACCCGCGCTCCGGGCCGAGGGGGCTCGAGGGCCGATGGCCTGGGTCACCGAGCCGAGGGGGCTCGAGGGCCGATGGCCTGGTTGCGGCACTCCGGGCCTAGAGCTCGAGGGCCGCGGGCCTGCGCTGTCAGCACGGTGCCGCGCGCGACGTCGCACACGGCGGTGCGGCGCGCCAGCGCTCGGAAGAAAAGATCCGCGCGCGCTCGCTGTGCTAACAGTGGTGCTTTGTTTCACACTGTTGCTGTGGTGCACACCGGCGCCGTGGTTTACACAGGCGCTGTTGTGCACGCAGGCATCGTGGTGTACACTGGTGCTGTGTTGCACACGGCTGATGTGGTGTGCGCAAGCGCTGTGGTTTACACGAGCGCCGTGGTGCCAGCAGGCACTGTGGCACACACTGGCGCTGTGTTGCACGCGGCTGCTGTGGTGTATGTACATAGGCGGCGTGGTGTACACAGGCGCTGAGGTGAACGCGGGCACTGGTGTACACAAGCGTTGTCGTGCAGATCGCCACCGACATGCTGCTGCAACCCGTCCTCGGTCATTCCTAAGCATTCCCAAACGCCGCCGGCGCAAAACGTGACGCCATCGGCCGTCTCCACCCCTAAATAATTGCTGTCATCGGCCCGGAATTATAGCCGGAGTGTAGAATCCCCAAACAGGGTTTTTAGACTCGTTGCGGTTTCCAAGATCGATTGCGTGCCCGTCCAGTGCGGGCTGGCATGGCATGTTAAAACATGCCTCCTCCTCCTCCTCCTCCTCCACCTCCTCTTCATCCCGAACGGCATCTCGGAGCCCAGAGTTGCGAGGATGTCTCCAGCGTAACGGGCTGGACCACCTCGCGCGCGGCATTTCGGACCCCAGAGTTGCGACGATGTCTCGGGCGAAGCGTGCTGCGAGGAAGTCTCAGGCGAAACGGGCCGACCACCTCGAGCGCGGCGTCTCAGAGCTCCGAGTTGCGGGGGCCTCCTGGGGCCTCCTGGGACCTCTTGGTGACCTCCTGGGGCTTCCTCCTGGGGTTCCTGTGGCCTCCTGGACCCCACCTGGGGCTTCCTGGAGCCTCTTGGGCTGGACCACCTCTTGCGCGGCATCTGGGAGCTCAGAGTTGCCAGAATGTCTTGTGCGAAACGGGCCGGACCACCTCGCGCAGGGCATCTCAGAGCTCAGAAGTTCGAGGATGTCTCAGGCGGGCTCCCAGGGTCCCAGGGAGGATATGTAACATGTGGTCTTCTGGGCCCCCAGGCTGGACCACCTCTTGCGCGGCATCTGGGAGCTCAGAGTTGTGAGAATGTCTTGTGCGAAACAAGCCGGACCACCTTGCGCACGGCATCTCAGAGCTCAGAGTTGCGAGGATGTCTCAGGCGAGACGGGCCAGACCACCTCGCGCAAGGCATCTCAGAGCTCAGAAGTTCGAGGATGTCTCAGGCGAAACGGGCCAGACCACCTCTCGCGCGGCATCTCCGAAGTCAGATTTTCGAGGATGTCTCAGGCGAAACGGGCCGGACCACCTCGCGCAAGGCATCTCAGAGCTCAGAATTTCGAGGATGTCTCAAGCGAAACGGCCTGGACCACCTCTCGCACGGCACCTCGGGGCTCACAGTTTCGAGGATGTCTCAAGCGAAACGGGCCGGACCACCTCTCGCGCGGCGTCCCGGAGCGCAACTTTTCGAGGATGTCTCAGGCGAAGCGGCCAATCCCGGCCAACTCAGAAACGAGAGTTGTGAGGATGTCTCAAGCGAAACGGCCCAGACCATCAAATTTGTGTGAGGATGTCTCTGCTCCGACTTCCCTCGGCCAGAGTTTGTTTCTATCACAACAGCACCCCGTTCAGCAAGCTGTTTGGGGAAAAATCGTAACGTCGGATGTCTGCGGAGGGCGGAAGGCAGGGCGCGCATGGCGGCATCTCGGAGCTTCGCATTGTGAGGATGGCTTTGGAGAAACGGGCTGGACCACCTCGCGTGCGGCATCTCGGAGCTCAGTATTGGAAGGATGCCCCAAGCGAAACGGGCCGTTCTACTTCTCGACTCCCGTTAAGCCCTCTCATGCAACTTCATTCCTCATCCCTCCTCCTCCTCCTCCTCCTCCTTCTCGTCCTCCTCCTCCTCTTCCTGCCTGCTCCCTCCTCCTCCTCCTCCTCCTCCGGCTCCGGCACGTTTTGAGACGTCGCTAAAAGGTATATAACAACCCTGTTTGGGGAACCCTGTCTCGGAGCCCAGAGTTGCGAGGACGTCCCAGGTCGCACCTGGTCGACGAGTAAGCTGTCGGGTCGGCACTGTGAGAGGCTCCACCGCTAAGAGGAAGTGGGGGAGGGCGCGGAAGCGGGGGGGCATGTCGTGATGGTTCCCTCGGGGATGATATCGAGAGGTACGCGGCGCACGTCTCAAAAGAAAAATCGTGACGTCGGATGTCTGGAGAGGGCGGAAGGCAGTGCGCGCATGACGGATGCTGAGGCGGCAGAAACGACGACGGCGGGGACGGGGAGGCGGAGGCAGAGGCGCAGCAGCGGGAGGCGGGAGGCGGGAGGAGGGAGGAGGGAAGAGGAACCAGGCGGGAAGTGGGAAGAGGGAGGCGGGAGAAGGAATGAGAGAGGTTGTGATTGGAGCTCCTGTGCTACGAAACGTCTCAGGCAGAATGGGCCAGACCATCTCGCGCGCAACATCTTCGAGCCTCGCATTGCGAGGATGGCTCAATCGAAACGGGCCGGACCACCTCGCGAGCGACATCTTGGAGCTCAGTATTGGAAGGATGTCTCAAACGAAACGGGCCGGACAATCTTTCGCACACGTTTTGACAAGTCCACATCGCACTCGCTTCCCGTTAGGTCCTCTCCTGCAACTCCCTTCCTTCTCCCTCCTCCTCCTCCTCCTCCTCCTCCTCCTCCTCCTCCTCCTCCTCCCCCTCCTGCCTGCTCCCTCATGCACATCATCCGCCTCCTCCTTCTCCCTTCCATCTCCTCCTTCTCTCCTCCTCCTCCTCCTCCTCCTCCTCCACCTCCTCTTCATCCCGAACGGCATCTCGGAGCCTAGAGTTGCGAGGATGTCTCCAGCGTAACGGGCTGGACCACCTCGCGCGCGGCATCTCGGACCCCAGAGTTGCGACGATTTCTCGGGCAAACGTGCTGCGAGGAAGTCTCAGGCGAAACGGGCCGGACCACCTCGAGCGCGGCGTCTCAGAGCTCCGAGTTGCGGGGGCCTCCTGGTGCCTCCTGGGGCCTCCTGGGGACCTCCTGGGGCTTCCTCCTGGGCCTCCTGTGGCCTCCTGAATTCCACCTGGGGTTTCCTGAAGCGTCTTGGGGCTCCCAGGGTGGATATCTAACCTGTGGCCGTTTGGGCCTCTCCAGATGGAGGGGGGGGGCAGAAGAGCAGGAAGAATCAACGAATCGACACCGGATGAGTATTGACACGTTCTGATAGGCGGCCTCCAGGGGCCTCCTGGGAGCCTCCTAGGAATCTCCTGGGGACCCCTGGGGCCTGTCCTGGGCGTCCGGCGGCCTGCTGGGGCCTCTCTGGGGCCTCCCCCTCCTCCTGCCTGCTCCCTCATGCACATCATCCGCCTCCTCCTTCTCCCTTCCATCTCCTTCTCCTTCTCCTCCTCCTCCTCCTCCTCCTCCTCCTCGACCTCCTCTTCATCCCGAACGGCATCTCGGAGCCTAGAGTTGCGAGGATGTCTCCAGCGTAACGGGCTGGACCACCTCGCGCGCGGCATCTCGGACCCCAGAGTTGCGACGATGTCTCGGGCGAAACGTGCTGCGAGGAAGTCTCAGGCGAAACGGGCCGGACCACCTCGAGCGCGGCGTCTCAGAGCTCCGAGTTGCGGGGGCCTCCTGGTGCCTCCTGGGGCCTCCTGGGACCTCCTGGTGACCTCCTGGGGCTTCCTCCTGGGCCTCCTGTGGCCTCCTGGACCCCACCTGGGGCTTCCTGAAGCCTCTTGGGGCTCCCAGGGGGGACCTAACCTGTGGCCGTTTGGGCCTCTCCAAATGGAGGGGGGGGGGGGGGCACAAGAGCAGGAAAAATCAACGAATCGACACCGGATGTGTATTAACTTGACACGTTCTGATAGGCGGCCTCCTGGGGCCTCCTGGGAGCCTCCTGGGAATCTCCTGGAGACCCCTGGGGCCTGTCCTGGGCGTCCTGCGGCCTCCTGGTGCCTCCTGGGGCCTCCTGGGGACCTCCTGGAGCTTCCTCCTGGGGGGCACAAGAGCAGGAAGAATCAACGAATCGACACCGGATGTGAATTAACTTGACACGTTCTGATAGAGGGCCTCCTGGGGCCTCTTGGGAGCCTCCTGGGAATCTCCTGGGGGCCCCTGGGGCCTGTCCTGGGCGTCCTGCGGCCTCCTGGACCTCTCTGGGGCCTCTTGAGGCTCGCAGGGTCCCATGGAGGATATGTAACATGTGGTCTTCTGGGCGCCCAGGCTGGACCACCTCTCGCGCAGCATCTGGGAGCTCAG